AGACACTCAGTGCTTCTTAAATAGATTTTAATATCAAAAAGCTGATGTGTGGCAATACAGCTTGTACACTGTGACATCATGACTCTGTCTCTCTTGACTTGCACGGTTCCTGGAGAAGCATGTTACAGGGATTAAATCCCTTTGAATGCTAATGTCTTCCTCTTTTGAACCACAAAGAATATTAATCCTCCTCCCCTCATCTACCAACAGCTGCGCTGTTTTTCCTTCTTGACAGAGTGGAACAAGATAGCATGGCACAGTTGACCTGAATGTAAATATTGCTATTTGTTTTCTTTTTTTTTTTTTTTTGAACTGCTTATTTTTTTTTTTAATGGAAGTTTAACAAACCTGTCATCAAGTTATCAACTGCACAAATAAAAACAAAGCATTTGGGCACCTGGAAATATCTTTTAGCAGTTCTATCAGAAGAATTATAGAAATAATTTATTAACTTATTAATAAATTAACACACTGCAATCCTCTCAAACATTTACAGAGGCTAATACAGGAAGTGAGACTGGAATGTTCCCAGAGAAAGGGCATGACTGTGTGTACACAAATACACATGCATGTATAAATATATATGGATGGATGGAAATGTGAGTGTCAAAGTGAACAGGCACAGTTCAGCTCAGGCATGACTGCAGCAAATACAGCTAGCGTTACACAGAGCATCTTTAAGAACTAATCTCAACCTTACACACAGCTCTCATCCAACTCTTTCATGCACTCTGAGAAGGACAAAGGCCAGATAAAATAAAAAGAGAATATGCAGACTGACTATAAAAAAAAAATCCACTATGTTTCCATTGTGAAAGTAAGTATTTTTATACATTTGAAGTCAAATCAAATGACAGAGTGTCTTTCATTTGGATTTCAACATACAATTGAGTGATAAACCAACACAAAGCCTGGCATCTATGTAAAATCCTTTAGAGTCCCAAATGACAGTGCTGAGAAACAAATCTCACTGTATTTACCATTCTGAGTTTTTCAAGGCTTTTTACAAGTATTTTCACATTTTGGCCTTCTCTATTTTTTTGAATCATGTAGAAACATGAGCAGCAATGCAGAGGTAGATTATATATAAGTTAAACTAGAAATGATTACGTTGATAAATTAATACAAGTTTCCAATCCATTAAAAACAAAAATCCACAGAAAACCATCATATTTCCTACACTGTACTACAATACTGAATCTTCTGGCATACAATGAATGCATATTATATTGATGAATTAAAAAAAAAAAAACATGGTACTACTGCCTAACAATGGCATACTTCATTTGCATCTGTAGTTCAAAAGCAGTGCAATCTGTTAGTGTGCAGGCTGATAAATAGAAAAGAATAAGCATTTCCATGTAAGCTATGATAGCATCGTATACGATCCATCACGTTAACATTCTTGGCCAGTTACAGTGAACTTCTACAGTAATGATGCTTGACCAAATCTAATAATACTTACAAGAACTATATTAACCTATTGAAAAAAAAAATCCTGAAGCTGAAATATTAGTAACAAAGCTTTTTTAACCAGAAATATTACTGAATTTCATATTGCATTTGGAAAAATTTACACGTATGTATTGTGTTCAATCTTGGATGCTTACTAGAAATAAAACTCCTTGATCATCTTACATTTTCCACTGAGGTACCATTACATTCAAAAACATACACGTCACAGTTTGCTCAACACAAGAAGGTTCTTCCCTCAGGATCAAAACATGGTAATTCAAGGTAGTTTGAATGTGCACTGATGCAAATTAAATGATATGCAGATCTGCATGCAAATAGTTACGTAGCATTTGCCATATAGAACCATGCTAGCCTGCTGTCTATTAAAAAAAAAGCACATCCCACGTGTTAAGAAAAATATAATCTGGGGGGAAAAAAAAAAAAAAAAAAAATCAGCTAGGTTTGAAAGACAAAAGACAACAAGCCCAAAAATTTTAAAGAGTTCAAGATATTAACATAACATGCTTGGAAAGAACATAGATTTTTCAGATGATATGGAAGAATAACTAGAAAATCTAGCATCTATTTCTACTACAATAAACTGTTTAAATACTGAAAACATATGTAATTCTGCAGTGTTTACCATGGTGTACTCCCTGCAAAGAGAATACAAAATCTACAGCCTTAGGAATTTTGTAGAATTAAGCAAGCCACATCCTAATCTCTTGCTCTTCAGCAATCCAAATACACCAGATAGAGTGCTTTAAGAAAGAACTGTGAGTTTGTGAGGCAATGCTGACTCTATCACAGCGAAGAGCTTTGTCAAAAGAACTCTAAGTAAGGAAAATGAACTAGATGTCATCCTAACTCTATATATCTGAGAATATTGGACCTGATCTCTAATAACACTAATCATAATTTTACGTTCTCTAGTCTGCTAAATAGGATTTAAAGTGAATATAGGCGTTATTACTATCCACTTTAATACATTTCACCAAAGTCTGGCAGTTTAGTACTTCGTAGAAGTTTAAAATCATACTATAGAGCTATTCTTCATACGGATGCACAGACTGACTTTGATGTGCTCTCAATTCAAGGAAAGAGGGAGTAGGATGGCGAGAAGAGGAAGAAAAGTGCCTTGCATAGCTTAACCCTGACCGATCAAGTAGTTAAGGAGCAGCTTGGAGCAGCTCCAAAGACTAAACCAGCTCTCTTTCCAGTTCTGCTTTGACAGGTGGAAGACCACAGTGTTTCAAGATTTCAAAAAGAATATCTGATGTGCCACTCCCTTTCTAGCTTCACAGAAAAATAAAATAACTTATTTGCTTACTTTGGGTGGCATCTGATTAAAATGCTTTGGGGAAAACCAGACACATACAAAAGAAAAAAAAGAAAAACAAAAAAGTCCGAAACAGAAAGGAGAAACAGCTATGAAGAAAATAAAAGTACTCTCAATCTGGTTGAGGGCTTTCCTGCCCTTCATGAAAACATTATCCCCCAACTTGCATACTTTTTAATATATTTGAATGCAACTATGCCAGCTCCTTATAAATGCTTTTTCAAAATACAGCTTACCTTTTCAAATCGCCATTTTCAATCATTACATTTAATGAGTATTTGATGTCTTTGCAACACACACAAAATTCCCAATAAGAACTCTCCATTAATTAATGTTTAAAATTAGGTGAATTCATTTAATATGAATGAGTTAAGTACATTACACATTAAAAAGTTATCTTACACTAGAAGAAGTGGATAAGGTCTACAATAAACTTTCTCATTATGCTTTCCAGAAACCTCAGCAAATGCAACTGTGTACATTACAGAAAGAGAAACTGAGCACTGGAAAAAGAAATCTATATGAAATGTTAGATACCCTCAAATCCTAGTATGTTGCATACAGACTGCCCTGTGAGTCTACAAGCCATGGCCTACAGTTTCCTCAAGTATTTTTACCCTCTCCTAATATCATTAATAAAGCAGGAGAGCTCAATTAGGCAGAAAATGTGCACAGACTTGCTTTCAGTTTCTTCACAGGACTGTTAGAGACAAGTTTCTGCACTTTCCTCCTATGCTGGTTTTTCAAATTAACTTCTACCTGTTTTGCCTTTCTATCATTTCTTCCGTTTACTGACTCTTAGCACATTATTTGTTAGTCTTTAAACTTCAGTATTACTTAACGCATGACAATGCTAATGAGATTCTATAGTATTTTAATAAATACCATAAGAAATTCTGGATGTGGTCCAGGTACATTCATGCTTAATTATGGTACACATCACACAAATATGCCATTGCTGCTTTCCATTAGTTAAGACTAATGCCACCATGTGAACTAACACGATGGAAATATAATAGATGCTTTCTTTAGAAAGACTGCAATCCTATACTGTCTTTGCTGAAGGCCTCAGATTCAGTCATCCTACAGCCCTTTCTGCAAGAGATCTGTAATGTATCTTTCCCAAAATAAGCACCGCTACTTTTAAATAAATACAATAAAAAGGATTCTTTCAAATTCAGAGTTATAGAACAAACAGTCAACAAGTACTGAAGGACAATAACAGAAGTTAAAAAAAAGGTGTACTACATAAAATTAATTTCCTCTTGTCTTTACCACTCGCAGTCACCAAAAGAAGCTGTAATACAATAAAACAGCATTCACTGTTGTATGAGAACTGCTGAGTCACGGGCTGAACCTTTAATTGATCACCTGAGGCAAGCAATGAGTCAGCCAGAGGAGCACAGGTGAAGGCAATTCACCTGTGGAGCCAGGCTCCACCCCTCCTAGACCTATTGAAGAGCTGACTACCAACGGCTAAGGAGCTCTTCTGGAGATTGGCTCTGCTGGAGTTTTGTGAGTGAGCCCAGGATAGGAGTAAGCCTTCTATTTATTCTCTTTTGTTATCATAGTCTGCTTTGCCTAACTCTCTTGTTTATCTCATAATTATAGCATCTTAATATTCATTGATTATACAACTGTTAATAGGATATACCACTTCACACTCAAAGTGAATTTCTTTTGAAGCTGTCTTCTGAATTTATTCTTACTACCATAGCATCTCTTATTCTTTTTGCTTTTCAACTTGGAATCAGTGTAGAACTTAATAAGCTATCAGTAAAAAGAAGTAAAATGTAACAAACAGAAATGATTCATTAATAAAATGGAGCACTGAAACATGCAACTTGAAATTTTCACACTTTGCAGTACTGTTAGATGGAAAGCCATACCATCCATCCAGTGAAATAACGCCCAATGAAATACCAGATGTAAGCAGGAAGTCAAAGGCCATTTACAACTCATATAAGGTTCCCTCCCAGGCAGAGAAGAAAGGAACAGCAGAAAAACTTCAGTTCATATTAGGAAGCCTGCAATTTTTAAGCCAGTGCCGTTCTCTGGTTCTATAAAGGCTATACACGTGAAAAGTTTTCTTCCTTGCTCCTACCTGCCATAGATTTTCTTACTGCTATAGAAGTATTTGATTAATTCTGATTTTCCAGCATTATACCTGGCAAAATACTTACTCAAGGCTAAGATCTCAGCTTACCTGATGAAGATCATTGCCCAAAACATATTCCTGGAAGTACCCTGGTGCAGCTGACGATGCTCTAATGGCCTGCCACAGTTTATACTGACAGCCTCCGATATAATGAGACTTAACCCCAGGGAAGTGATTGTAGTTTCTAAAAACAAATGCTTTCAGTGGTGTTCCTCTGTTTACAATGGTGCTTACTGCAGCTACCTAGAAAATTGAAAGGAATAAAAATCAAGTAATAAAAGATAAGGACAAACTCCCAAACTTATAAAAACTCAATTTATACATTAAATGCCTCTCAGGAACTCTGCTCAGTGTGTATTTACTAACTTATAAAATAATGCCTATGTAAATTTTAAATGATAAAGAAAAAAAACAACAAAACAACACAACCTCCCTAAAGATAAGGCTTTTTTAACCTCTCACTGTTTCTATTTTGTTTCTTTGAGAAGTGCACAAGAACCAAGAACAATTCTCAAGTATCCAACAATATAACAATGGTGTGAAATACATATATTTAACACAATCCATTTCTCCTGGAAAACAATTACTTAACATTGCAACTTCAATGAAAGGACTGCAGAAAGGATCTCTTCCAAAAAGAAAAAAAGTCTTTGAAAGATTTTCTTGCAAGGATTTTTGTAAGGACACTAAGACATCTTTAAGTCACATACATTTATGTGAAAAGTCAAAGCTATATTTCCATTAAAAAATGTACAATTACAAAATTCAGCATATTTTCCAGATATAATGACATGAAGTGGGTGTACCTATAATTATAGATAAGCATTAGAATATGCAAGACCTTTTAGCAATGACGCAGCCAGTCTGTCTGACACTGTTTAGAACAATACAGCAGACAAGTGGGTGTTCAATTCTATTTTGTGTATTGTTTATTACAGAGCAGGTTTTTTTCTGTGAAACACTGCTCAGCACCAGCATCACAAGCAGCTGATGCTGTGATACCACTGGATTCATTTCCATTCTTCAGCTAAGTCAGTCACCTAATTTACAGTAAGCTTACCTTTGAAAAGAAAAAGAAAACAAGTATTACCACTACATGGGGGAAAAAAAAAAAAAAAAAAAGACAAAAAAAAAAACAGAAGGAAAATGTATGCATGATTGTATGCTGTCATTTGCCAGAGGAAAACTTTTCTGTTTTGTCCAAAGGAAGGCCTGGTTCCAAGCACTGCTAGAAGCATTAAGGAAAAGAATACTTTGAAAAATTTAATTAAAAAACCTATCAAATTGATGCTTGAGCTTTTATTTTTTTTTTTCTTCCCTCCCACTATTCATATTTTACTTCTTGAAGTGAAGTGCAACTTGAAAAATACTGAGCACATTTTGGAAAACTCCATCTCTTTTCAGAAATTTAACAGTTTACCCAACTGTGCATTTTATTTTGATTTTACTGGCCTTGTAAAGAGTGCAAGCACTACAGAGTGATTACTACCAACAACTAGTTTCAATTCTATTTATATTCACATTTTATTACTGAAGAACATGGAATGAGGCCAAATATCCCAGTTCAAAGATAACTTTCAAGTCAGTGTAAGCTAGCTTCTCTCTCAGAAAGTAACATACCACTCCATCCTTTTCATGTCCTTGTTTTAGACATGCATGAGGAACGCAGTCAAGCGCATGTTTCTATGTTTAGAAAAATGTGAGTGTCTTCCATTTAACAGTAAAGCATTGAATATAGTGCTATGACACCAAAACACCTGTTAATTACAGACTGTTCTGAAATATATGCTATTATATTTCTCTTCTTTCTTCACACCCTGTTGTTCACCAAAAATAAAATACCCATGCTTTCTCATCTTTCATGCTGTTTCTGTATATAACGTCTCTCCAATTAATTGGTGCCCTTCACCTACAGGAAGTATCTCAGGGTCAACAAACAAGACTGAGGAAAACCTGGTTATCCAGATAAAGTGAAGAGACTCCTTTCTCTTACTGCACAGTAAGAGATATCACATTTGACATGATGAGCCACAAGGCAACAGGCAGAGTTGCTGACCACTAGATTAAGCACTAGATTGAGCTGTCTGGGGACCCATCCAGCCTAGCCTTGAACACCTTCAGGGACACGGCCTCCACATCTCTGGGCAACATGCTCCAGCATCTCACCTCAGTCAAAAACTTCCCCTGACATCTAATCTAAACCTCTCCTCCGTTAGTTTGAAACCATTCCCATTGCCTTCACGTAAAAATTTTCCTCATGTTTACAATCTCCCTTTAAATACTGGAAGGCCATTTTCCAGACTCAACAAGCCTAGTTCCCTCAGCCTGTCTTCATACAAGAGGTGCTCCAGCCCTCTAATCATCCTCTTGGAGAGGGTTCAGAGGATGGCCACCAGTGCCACATATTTCTTTACCCCAGACCTGAAGAAAATACTTCAAATGGGGCCTCAAGAAGGCAGAGCAGAGAGAGACAATCGCTCCTTCACCCTGCTGACCACTCCTTTTTAATGCAGCCCAGCATACTGTTAGCCTTCCAGGCTGCAAGTGCACACTGCTGGTTCATGCTGTTTTTCATTGACCAGGACCCCCAGGTCCTTCTGGATAAGGCTACTCTCAATGAGCTCTTCTCCCAGTCTGCACATATCTGAGATTGCTCCGACTCACGTGCAACACTCTGCACCTAGTTTTGTTGAACCTCATCAGTTTTACATAGGCCCACCTTTCCAGTTAGTCAAGGTCCCTTTGGACAGCATCTCCTCCTTCCATCACATAAACTGCAGTACTCAACTTGGCATCATCTCCGAACCTGCAGAGGGTGCACTCAACCCCATCATCTATGTTACTGATAAAGATGTTAAAGAGTACTGATCCCAAGATGGACCAGACCCCTGGGAGCCATCTCTCCTTATCAGCTTAAACCTGGACATAGAACTATTTACCATTTCTTTGCTTACAAACCTAAAACATCTTCTAACTCACAGTATTAATAAAAACATGAGGAACTGCTATTGAAATCTAAGCTTCTATTCTTTAGAAGCACAGGTTATCTTATACAGATGCTTGTAGAGCTTATCAGTGCTCACATTTTTTTTCTTATAAAATATTCTTCCCCTGAGCATACAGTTAGTATTTATATTAGAACACTGTACTTACCTTTGGACATTTAGAATTTCGTGCAGTTTCAATCATTAGATTTGAGCCCATTTTTTCTCTACAAATAAATGTAGAAAAATGAAAATGGTCTGTGAGTTTTACCATGAACAAAAGACGTACGTTTTTATAAGCCCTTATAAGTATTCTGCATTTAGAAGAAACAATGCTTGGATTTCACTTTAATAATCAGGTTTTTGCAGTATTTGAATGGACCAATGCTTCATGCTTTCTAGGCTGTTGGAAATGAGTTTGAAGAGTGAGTTCTTGATTCAGTTACTCACTTCATCACATAACCAAAAACTCATCATGATTACTTCAACTGCTTCACGAGAGCAAAACAAAGTACTTTGCTGCATTTCAGAATAATAAAAAAAAACCAACAATCTCATCAAGAAGCTTTATAGGAACAAAAGCAAACGTTTTCCATTATGAGAACAAAAGCCAAGAAAATAAATGCACCATCCTGCATGATTTAGAAGAACATTTTCCATACCAATAATTCAGTATGCATTTAGCATTCTTTTTATAGGTGGAATGTTTTCCATATCTTGTATTCTAATCACTAATGAGAACGTAACTTTCCAGGTACAGGACATAGGCTGCTATAATTATACTAGCTAATAACCTCTTAGCAGCTTTGACTTGTATTTCCTTACAGTAAAGGTATAAAAGTCTATACAGTGAGTGCTCAAACATAAGAATTCCAAGTTCATGTAAACAACCAAAAGAAAACTGAAAAGCTAGAACAATATGCCAGGTTCTCCATGCAAATGTGATTCAGCATTGCATTATACAAATCAACATACAGTAAGCACAATTTTCTTCACAAAGTATTGAATATAAATTATTAAAAATCACTCTTCAAATTGTAACATAAGGAATCATAAGTTAAACACATATGTAAGACAAAATTGATACCCATCAACACCCTGGATAAGAATTTAAGCAAAACCAGCTGTTATTTCCATAAATTGAACTTATAATATGCCTCACCAACGAATGCAACATTAGTTGATTATTTTCAGCAACGTTACTTCCTGGAAATAATTCCATCAAATGCTAAGTGTGTATTGCATGCCTATATTTGGTAAATTTGTACACTATTTCAAGCAAACTCAACTACCATCTAAACCAAAAATTCGCTCAGCACAGCTATGATTTAAATTTAAAATAAAATACAAAGCAGTTTTGTCATGCAGTTACTGAAAGTAAGCTCCAACCTTCTTGCTTCCATGAAGAGATGCTATATGACCTTTTAGTTTCTTTCTCAGTACCAGGCTGCATGGAAGCCTGCATGAATCTATACTGTTTCAATGAAGTGATGTATAGGCATAGCAGCTCCCTTCAACACTGCAAAACTGGGTTAACAAAGACTCATTTGTTGATATGACTTCTCATAGGAAGAAGTCCTTAGAGACAAAAGGAGGGGAACAAAGTTGGCTACTCTTAACAATGCCTTTCTGGGAGTACAGGAGCTCTCCATCCATCATAACAAGAAAGCAGGCAGTGGAAGCAGGAAGCTAGTATGGCTTGGCAAGGACCTGCTGGTCAAACTGAGGAAAAAGAAGGGCAATACAGACAGTGGAAGCAAGGACATGTCACCTGGGAAGAGTACAGAAATGCTGTCTGGACTTGCAAAGAGAAGATTAGGAAAGCCAAAGCATAGATGGAACTGAATATGGCAAGGGATGTTAAAAACAACAAGGAGGGGTTTAACACGTACATAGGTCAAAAGAGGCAGGCCAAAGAGAGTATATCTCCCCTGCTAAATGAGAAAGGAGAACTGACTACAACAGATACAGAGAAAGCTGAGGTAATCAATGAGTTCTTTGCCTCAGTCTTCACTGGCAGCCAAGATTTCCTGAACCTGAGCCTCTGGGCAGGAACTGTGGGAGCAGTCTCCTCGCTGTAAGGGTGGAGCAAGTCCAAGACTGACTCATGACACTGAAAGTCTACAAGTCCATGGAGCCAAACAACATGCATCCCAGGGTCCTAAGGGAGCAGCTGAGGTAGTCACCAAGCTGCTCTCCACTATATTGAAAAGTCATAGTTGTCAGGCAATTTCCCCAGGAAAAAAAGAAACATTACCCTTCTTTACAAGAAAAGGAGGACGGAGGACCTGGGGAACTACAGGCCAGTGAGCCTCAAATCTGTGCCCAGGAAGATCTTGGAACAGATCCTCCTGGAAGACACTTTAAGGCACAAGGCATGAGTGGATGATCTGAGACAGCCAGCATGGCTTCACTAAAGGAAGGTCAGGCCTGATCCACCTATTTGCCTCCTATGGTAGAGTGAGCATGGGTACACAAAGGGAAGACAACTGATATACTCTAACATTTTTATTGAGATGACAGGATTAAGTGCATCCTCAGCAAGTTCACTTATGACACCAAACTGAGCAGAGTGGTTGATACAACAGAAGGAAGGGATGCCATCCAGAGGGACCCTGATAAAAATCAATAGGTGGGCACTTCTAAAGCTACTGAGGTTCAACAAAGCATAGGGCAAGGTTTTGCACTTGGATCGAGGTAATCTCAGACATGTATATGAAGTGGGACAAGAACTCCTTGAGAGTAGCTCTGTTGAGAAAGACTTAGGGGTCACGGTTAATGAAAAACTGAAGGTGAGCCAGTAGTGATTGCTTGCAACCTGGAAGACTGTATCCTAGGGTCCATGAAAAGAGGGGTGGCCAGCAGGGGCAGGGAAGTCCCTCTGTTCTGCCCTTAGGGAGCCCCAGTTGGAGTACTGCGTCCAAATCTGGGGCCCCTAACGCAGGAAGGATGCAGAGTTTTCAGAGAGGGTCCAGAGGAGGGTCAAAAAGATGATCCAAGGGCTGCAGCACCTCTCCTATGAAGATAGGCTGAAGGAGTGGGCTTGTTCAAACCCGGGAAAAGAGAAGGCTGTGGGGAGATCTCACTGCAGCCTTCCAATGTTTAAAGTAATTTCATAAACAGGAGGGAAATCAACATTTTACACAAGAAGATAGAGACAGACTAGTTTAAAACCATTCCCCTCCTCTGCCTAAATCACCCTTCCTTTAGCTAGGAGGAAGTTTAGTTTTAGGGGGAAGTTTTTAACTGAGAGGGTAGTGAGGAGCTGGAACAGGTTGCTGATGTCCTGTCCCAGAGGTTTTTAAAGCCAGGCTGGATGGGGCCACAGACAATCTGATTTAGTACTTATCTAGCAGCTAGCAAGCCTGCCTGTGGCACAGGGTCTGGAATGTGACAAAACTCGAGGTCCCTCCCAAGGTTCAAGCTATGATTAAAAATTAAATGCACTGATCATGGAATCTAATCTATGAATCACATAATTGCCTTGCTTTTGTGTACTGTACATGAGTAGTGTGCTTTACTTCCCTTGTGTTATATGCAGCTGCAAAGAATTTTTAATTTTAAAGGCATACAAAATACTGTCATGAGCTAATTTTTCTAATTTTACCATTTTCTGGGCAATTTTTCTCAGACGAAAAATACGATACTGATTTCATCAACAATTTTTTTCCTAAAAATATGCAAAAGCACAAAAAAAATGCTTGGAAGCTTTTCTTCACTTCAGCAAAGCAGTGAGATGCTTACCACTTGGGAAGCACAGGCCATTGTAAGAAACTTGTTACTTATCCAAAGAAGCTTTTGGCCATTTTACATCCGCTCTCATGTTAAGTCATTTCTGTTCTTTCAGTTGCAGTGCCAGCTAACACTGTGCATTTTCAAGAACTCAACTATCAATATGAATACAGATGAATGAAAATAACAGAACACATAATAATTATTTCTTTTTCTTGGGGAAAAAAAAAAAAAAAAAAGATTTTTTCCCAAGTACTTGTTAATGCATTTATATACTTAAAACATTTACATACTTTTACATTGTTAACTTCAACACAGTGAATATTTCTTCCATTGCAATTTGCAATTCTAACAGATTTTTTCTTCCTATTTTATAGGAATGGGAAATTGTTAAAATCCCTCAGTACAGCAGCTAACATCTAATATCCCTATTACAACTTATTATTTCAGTTCTTACTGTATCTCCTTACAAAGAAAAAAAAAAAAGCACAGCAGGTGGCTAGTAAAATTTAATGCAGATCTGTAATGAGTCAGATCAAGTAGCTGGCAAGCATTCAAAAATATAATCAGAAATCATTGCACTAAAAGCTTACTCTGCTCCTGAAAAAAAAAATACACTAAAGGATTCCAGTGTTCTGTTAAATATTAAAACAACTATTTTCAAAGAATTAGACTATACACTAATCATTTTCTTTTTTTAAAAAACTTGCTTACCAAAGAGACACTGACAAAAATGAAGGCTATTAGATTTGTAATAGTAAATTATATTTAACTTTTTTCTTTAAAAAAACAAACAAACAAACACTTACTTGAGCATTTTTTCCCAGATATCACTGTCATAAAAGGCATGGCTCCAACCCATCTTAACTGTTCCAAGAATAACATTCTGCTTAAAAACATCGGATCCCAACTTGTGATATAATTCTTCGCAATCATCCAGAGGTATATGGAACAACCCCAACATAAAAGCTAATATAGCTCCTGAAAAGAAATATTTTGAAATGTTAAGTATAGTACATAATGAGATTATAATGATGGATTATTAATTACTATAATATTCATAGGTTAAGAAAATGTCTCTTTTGAAAAGGGTGATCAACTGACATTTCTAACACCAAATTCCTGTTCAAAAATAATAAACAATGTTTTAAGGACAATTAGAAGTTAGGAAGAGTTTATTTTCAAAAACAAATTATTTTAGACATTGACAAATGCTATTCTTTTGTTTTGCACACATCATCCCTGCCAAAATATATACGGCAGAAAGCAGGTTAAATCCACTGCGTTATTTGGAAAGAGAAACGTGTAGGAGTAGTCTGTGCTGTAGCATTTAAAAAATATTTGGAGCATTACTTGCTATCTTACAAACTCCTTTATTCTTTAAAGAAAACTTCTAGCAAATTCTGTAATGGAAGCTTTTTTTGTTTTGGAATATATTTGGTTGCAATCATTTATAATTAATCATCGATGGAGGCCTTGCAGAGATCTAGACAGAACAGAGCATTGGATGATCATCAGCAGCCACGAAGTTCAACAAAGTAAAATGGCAGTTTCTGTACTTGGAATGAACTAACACCAGACACAGCCTGGGAGACCAGTGGCTTGAGAGCAGCTCAGCAGCAAGGGACCTGAGTGTGCTGGTGACAGCAGGCTCTGAATAAGCTATCAATGCACCCTGGCAACCAAGAAGGCAAACTGCATTTTGGGGGTGCTTTAAATACTGCAGAGCCAGCCAGTCAGCCGAGACAATTCTCCCACTACGTTTAGCACTGATACAGCTTCACCAGTGTGTGTGCAGTTCTGGACTTCACAGTATAAAAAAAAATACCAAAGTCCTTGAAAGCTTCCAGAGGAGGGTTAACAGAACTGGTAAAAGTGTGGCAAGGTATGTCTTATGAGGAGAGGCAGAGAACACCTGGTATATCTAGCCTGAAGAAGAAGAGGCCGATAGTGATCTCACTGCTCTTTGCAGTTCCCTGAGGAAGGGAAATACAGAGGAAGATGTCAGTTTCTTCTCCTTGGAACCAATGTCATACAGGATTAGCACAAAGCTGTGTAAGAGAAGGTTCACATTGGACGTTATGAAAAACGTATTTACTGTGTGAGTGGTTTAACACTGGAACAGCTTCCTAAAGAGGCAATGATGCCCTAAGCTTGCCAGTGTTGAAGAGGCATTTGTGTTGCACTTATGCTCTAACATTCAGTTAACCCTACTGAATGGGTTATACTACTAAGTGGACAGGCTTGATCAGTTAGACTTGATAATCTTTTACGGTCTGTTCCAACTGAACTATTCTATTCATACACACTGCCATCTAGTGTGTGCATAAAACAAGAATGACTTACCCTTGTAGGAAAAAACAGTTTTCAAAAAACACAGTTGCAGAATACAAATGCAAAAACATTTTCCCCATTACCACCTGAGAAACAGCACCAAAACCCACAGTCTGTTAGCACATAGACAGCAACAGTTATTATCAGTCAAGTTACCCATTAAAGGGCTTTGCTGAAATCTGTTGGATGGTAACAAGACACTCCCAGGAGAGAAAAGCTACAATCAAAGGTGATAACCTGATCACTCAGTGAAAACACGTCTAATGCTTCCTCCACTTTCTGGCCTGTTATCACAGACTTCTACACTCCAGCAACCATCTCAGCCTTGGCTACCAACATTTCAGAGAACAAAACAAAACAAAAAAACCAACAAATTACTAAATAAAACTTGAGAGGCTAAGGAGTGTATCTTGAAGAACATGGGTACACAGCAGGCCAATAAGACATAAGATAGGCAAGAACCTAAGCTGAAGGATGAAAGCATTCCTTCCTTACTCAACTCAGCATCAGCAAGATGTCAGCTGAAGCTCTGCATGTGGTCCTAATGGAAGCCAACTGAAAAAAATACATATATATATATATATATATATATTTTCACAAAAAACCACCATGTGTCAAAGTAATCAATCTCTAAGGAAAGACCAAATAAAATGAAAGCCTTTAAATGCACAGCAGACTGCTTCAAAGAGAAAGAAAATAATGCCATCCACAGCTCTAGGAGTTAGGACATGGAGAAACACATTTAAACTGCAAAAGGATGACTGACATTACCTTTTGGAAATGCTGTTGTCTAATGATAACAGAGCACTAGAACAAGGTTTCTGAAGACATCTGTTATGATGCAAAATCTGACAACTGTCACCAGTGAAACAGACATAGCTTATTCATCTTTTGGGAAATGAGAAAGGTTTCTAAGATCAATTCCAGCTTTGTAATATCAACTTGACATATTTATGAGTTGTCTTGAAAAATATATTTCTTCAATCAGGAAAGTGTTCAAAAAGCATTTCAAAACTAGAAAGAAAACATGAGGGAAAAACCACACCAAAACCATTAATAAAAATGCCATTTTAGTTTCAGGAGGCTCCTGAACTACAAATCCACAAAGGCTGGGAGAACACATAGGAGAACAAACCCTGTATTGTTCTTAACTTCAGAGGATTTTTGGAGAAGATCCTTAGGATCTTATGCAGATTTCCTATATACTCAAAACTGGTGACCAAAGAGATCACTACAGTCCAGATGACTCTGTAGTGGGAATGTGGGACTAAGTGGGAATGTATAAACAGGAGGGGGAAAGACGGCTTACAAAGGTGGATAGTGATAGGACAAGGGGAGTGGTTTTAAACTGAGACAAGGGAGATTTAGGTTAGATATTAGGAGGAAGTTTTTCCACACAGAGGGTGGTGATGCACTGGAACAGGTTGCCCAAGGAGGCTGTGGATGCCCCATCCCTGGAGGCATTCAAGGCCAGGCTGGATGTGGCTCTGGGCAGCCTGGTCTGGTGGTTGGCAACCCTGCAAGTGGCAGGAGGTTGAAACTTGATGATCGTTGCCCTTTTCAACCCAGGCCATTCTATGTTTTATGAGTGGTTCTCTAAGCATACTGCTTTTGAGTGCATCAGAGCATGTCAGTGATCCAATCCAACATACAATACTTGAGAATGGCACTAATTATTACAAAGGTTACTAATTATATGAAGATTTAGGAAGAAGTCCTATAGAATTCTTGGAGAAGATCCATACATGGAAAACAGGGCAGTATGCACTTGGCCTGATCACATATTCTCGATGTTATAAACTTCTCCATGTGATTGAACTGTAAGCACACCACTATTGAGAAGTATCTCTGATGATGCATTTGGGGACAGGAAGTGAAAATGCAAGCACATGTGCAGGTCCTTGAAAGCTTAAGTGTTGTGTCCATTTGTGAAAGCATACCACACTCCAGAGCTCTGTGATAAACACAAGGAACTCCCAGTAGCTCGGTTCATGGAGTAACGGTACTACTTTCATCTATGGACTTTTGTACAGCACAAACTGAGTACAGAATTTACATTAATTTTGTTCTTCATAAAAAAATAATGTTCAGTGGCCCTTGTTGCATTTCATGGTCTTGAAGATTTTATGGTACCTCTAGGCCCAGGTATTACGCTCAGCAACAGGCAAGTGAGTTAAGTTTGCAGGGCATCATTATAGGGATCTTCCTGCGTGGCTGCCACATTTACAACCCACGATCACTATAGAGAAGTACAGGTTAGCTATCTACAAAGACTGTGATAAGCAAAACCTAACTCTCAAAGGCCACACAGCTAAGGATAATATGAGAGATGAGTAGTACAGCAGAAAAGAAAAAGATCTGTAACATAAGGGGCATCCCTCTTATTCTTTGAAATCACAGGTCAACCAGCTGCAAGCACCTGCAAATTCTACTGGTATAAATACAAGTACCAACAATGTAGATCACAATGGCCAAGTACACAGCTAGCACAAACTGACAAACATTCACAACCTCCCCTAGCCAAGATTGTCATTGTACTTCTAAGTAGCACAGACAAAAACTTGCTAATGGAAGTAAAGCTTAGAAGAATGAAATAAGCATTATTAGCAGTTACAGAGTAGTGGGATTGAACCAAGTAAGAATACTAAGCCTCCCTGTTAGAGATAAAACATAATGATGGAAAATGACAGTTTCACTAACAGAACTTTCCTACATATACCAAAAGAAACAACTTTTTACTACTAAATAACCTTATTAGTAGTCTCTGAAAAAAAATTCGTAAGGTGAAACAGGCAGCCCTAACATGCCTACAAACAAATTCTGACTAGTAGACAAACACCGTTCTCTATTTTGACTCTACAAAGCAGTTTCTGTCTTTGAAAACATGGACAGTGTATTTACCCATAATGATCTGTTTAATATATTTCAGAACTGAATTGTATTGGAGGATAACTATGGGGAAAAAAAAAAAAAAAAAAACGAAAAAAAAACAAAAAAAAAAAAGGAGAACTTGAGTTTCTAAAGAAACTGAACTATTGAATGCATCTCTCATGTTATAAAACAGAAATGCACTGTGATTAGTTTACCATAACATCCTGAAGCAATGATGATCTATCTTTCTAAAAGAAGATTATCTTTACAGTTGCCTCCTAGGGAGAGGCAACGTAATGAGTCACAGAGTAATAACTGAGGATAGGAGGACTCTCGAGAGGTCATTTAGTCCAACCTCCTGGTGAAAATGATTCAACTAGAACATGTTGGTCAGGATCTGTCATGCATGGATATATCAGTCTGACCAGACAACTCATTCTACTGTCCCACCATCTTTGCAAGAAAAAAGGTGCTTCCTTATCTTAATCATAATTTTCCATATTCCAGTTTCTCTGTTAACTTTTCTCCTATCACTGCATACCTTCACGAAGAGACTTGCTTCATATTCTCTCTACTTTCATAATAGTTCAAAGAGCAATCAGGTCTCACAGAACCACAGTCTTCTCTTCTGAAGGCTGAGTTAAGAAGTATATCATGAATTACCCTAAGTTTTCAATGTACTAAAAAAGCCTTTAGAAGTCAAACCCGTACTTTCCCCAGCTTACAATCAAAATCAGAAATCTGGCAAATTTTGCAAAATCTACATCTAAGTCCACATGTTCTTACTATATTCATAACAAAATTCCAACTTGTAGAACAACGATTACCTGTGCTTACACCACAAATGTAGTCAAAAAGATGATGAACTGGCTTTCCAGTAAGTTCTTCTAGCTTCCGTAGTGTTTGAAGTGCAACTAAACCCCTGAAATACACAAAAAACCCAACGCATTCATTCATACACAATGGTAGTTTTATCTTATGTTGGTTTAATTAAACCTACCTTTGCTTAATTATAACTGATATCTACAATGTTAAGAATCAAGAATATTTCAGGGAATGAAAGCATATTGGTATCAATCCTTTCCAGTCCAATGCTAAAAAACTGCATAAGGCATTAGAAGCACTGAAGCAAAGCACTATCTTGGCAACACATTGTGCTGAGAACAGCCCCTGTCATGTGCTACCTCTAACCCTGTCCTGGCTGGTGTTGAAGGGCACTATTCAGCCCTGCACAAAGATCAGCTGAACACTATCAATTAAGATGCAGAACAGACAGTAGTCAGTGATCAGGCTGACTCTCTGGACTTGTTTCATTTTCATAGCATAGATATAATTACTCATTTCTCAAAATAAGGTGCTTTAATGGAACCATTAAGAAACTCCAAATCAGTAGCAAGTTCTTGAAAGTCTTACCCTGTAAAACATATCACACACAAAAAAAGAAACTTCCTCAATTCACAAGGAGATACATACAAAACTCTTTTCTTCCTATTCATTTTATTAATAAATTTATATTAATTTCATGGTACTGTGTGTACAACCAAGCCGTATTCCTGTTTAATAGGAACAAAACAATACCTTCACAGTCAAAGCTACAGACTACTTCCCACTAAACAAGTTTAAGCTTATAAGTACTTAAGAAAAAATATACAATTTAGACATACTGATAGTAACTATACATTATATTTACTCAGCAGCCCCATATTTTTAAAATACTACTATCTAGTGCAGACATCAGGTTTGCACCACACTCTTACTACTTACTGAATGCTACTGATTTTGGTGCACATAAATAAATACTATCAGGAAACAAAGTTGGTGAAACTATTTATGACATGGACTTTATACTTTGTTCTCTAACAATAAAGATTAATCAATTAGTAAATATTTGCTAAAAACGTTTCTTCAAACTTGCCTCAAAACACAGCTGTCAGTAAACAAGATTTTAAACTTAATGCACATGATTTTGCTCTCTACAAATTCTGGTAGGTGTACAAATTAACACAAAGTTAGAGCACAGGCAACTAAGGACTTGTGGTATTAATGGAAGTTAACACACAAACACATGCAAAAGTAAGTACCTATGACTTGAACAGTCAAACGCTACTGAATTGTAAATCAGAAAGTTCCACGTTTAGGCACAAAAATATTAAAGAGAAACTGCAATTCTATTCCCAGATACACTACGAAAAGAAACCTATAAGTATATAAAAGTTTCACCTTGTTCCTCCTCCATCAATAGCAAGGACTCGAATTCCCCAGCCTTTCACTGGATCTGTATATCCAATTATTGCCAAAGTCTCCCTGACAGCAGCCTGAAGACTTTCATCATTTGCTTGTCTCAATCGCAGTAGGCATGGGATTATCTTTTCCTGCAGTCAGAAGGAAATAACTTCGTATTTGTCAAGATGCTTAACTGAAAGAATTCATACTCAAATTTACTAGTTTTGCATTTTAGAGTAATAGCCTTATATTAGTTGAAGGAAAACTTCTTTAAAGCCATCTCTATATCTAACATGAGGAAAAAAAATGTCTGCAATATTATGTTGTATTCTCCTTATTGTTAAAATAGCCAGCTATCAAAACTTCAACAATCAAGCTGAAATTTAAATCCTTCTAATATATTTACCAGTACTTCAGTTGCTGTTGCATTTTACCAATTTAGTTTTATTGCCATTGTCACATTTGCAAAATAGGAATTTAAAGTACTGAGCATATTAAAGTATAGCTAAAAGTAAAGATTTGGCTGGACAGATACCGCTCTACTGCAAAGCAGGAAGTGCATCTGAAGTAGTACAATAATATCAAAAGAAACAAAAGTTAAAATTCTTCCTCATATTGACTAATCTTTACATTTGGAATTATTATCATAATCTTTACATTTGGAATTATTATCACAACGATACACAGGATTATAATCAAGGTAGGAGTAGCAAGCATACTCTCTCATAATAAAATAAATCATAACTATTCATGAGCATGCTTGACCTGTGCCCAGCCAGGGTAATTCATCTGGCTGGAATTTCACTGCACCAGTTTTACAGTTCACGTCAGCCACATGTCAAATCTGCTGGGAAAAGACACGGGACTGAAGCACTGTGATTTGGTCAGCAGTGCTGGAATAGTCTACCACCTAACTTCTGTCCTCTCACTGCATGCAGGAAAGAAAACAAGCAGAACTAGATTACACAATCTTATTACTTGATGGCTATGCTCCAGTTCTGTCCTCTCTTTGAAGGGAACACGTAAAGAAGCATCACAACTGTTGTACAGAGATCAACTGTACCGTACATTCATTTCTGGCCAATTACAAAACAGAACACAGTGTACAACCATCACCTACCATTAGAATTACCTATATTATCTATCCACGTGGCAGTGCTGTATGCTTCTAAATAAACATAACAATCCTAAGAGTCTTAAGCTAAATTACTGATAGCGTGCAGATAGATCTGCTGAACCAGCCAAACAAATAGCTATAAAAAACCACATTCCTCACAATTAGAAAATATGTCTAGCCCACAAAAGCACTGAAGAAAATTTTACTTTATAAGACTTTCTCTAATAGATATTTACAGCTTGTTTAAGCATAATTGTTTGCACCTTAATTGCAACTCCTCTGCTCTCTGGAAATTCCAGAAGATGGTAAGTCAGTTCTTCAACCCTGCTGATACAGACTCTTCGATTTGAGGATCTTCGCAGGGCTTGAACTAATGCTCGAGTCCTGTTATCGATACTCACTCTTGCTATGATCTAAAACAGATAAAAGTTATACAAAGAACACAGGTCTACACTAAGACACGTATGCAAACTGTCAAGACTAACTGCAAAAGGTTATTTTAAGATTTCACAGAAGTGCTGGACAGCACTTGCTGTACTAAGAGGTCTGCTACAGAACACAAATAAGGTTTTCTTAGATATAAACAGACTTTGTTTACCAGAAAATAAGTAAAGAATGCTCACAGTAACACCATACCGAATAAACTGCTGTCAGTATTTCTAATGGGGTGTTTTTTCAGGACAACTTCACAATTACAGCAGGTAGATCATGAAAAAGCATAACGTTACTTTGACTACTACAAAAATAAATAGCTACATCTACCTATAATGCATATAGATATGATCTATATACACAGAGTATACGAACACATGAACACATACATGGCTATAAAACATACGCAGAAACAATAGATGTGTAAAAATAACACTAAAGACTTGCCTTTTCTCTCTGAAGGGACAGATGTTTTTCCCTCTCTTCTGCAATGTTAGTCTCTTTGATTTCATCCTCCTCATCCTTCTCAGACCCTTCTTGCTCTAGCTGTTTACTCTTTTCCTGTGCAGCAACTTTTGTATCCGATCTTAACTTGGGAACCAATCCACCAATGTAACTGTCTACAAAAGCCTGTACACTGTTACTGGGATATGAAAGAAAGTTCGCAATACTTTTTTTAGTGGAAACTGGAAGAGTGGCATTTGACTTCTCAGCACCCTGAGTCTCAGTTTCAGGAGCTAAAGGAGCTGCCGAATTCACTGCTTCTTCACTAATTACAGTACTCTCTGATGAATCAAGCTTCGCTTCACTTTTAGAGCCTTTTAACAAAGCATTCCTCTTCTTCTCTTGATCCATAACAGAAAGATTACTGAAGTACCAGTTGATATGATCAGCAACAAAGTTATAAGTCTCTCCAAAACTTGTAGAAAGGTAGCTTATATGAAAAAGGTGGTTTTTAGCAGATGTTGAATCTTCTGGAATATCTTGATTAGCGCCACTCGTACTGTTTAACACAAACTCCAAGTTTTCCTTTGTGTTACTGGATTGCTTGGCAGCTAGGCCTGTGTTGCAATCCTCCTGAGTTCTGGCACCTGAGACTTGTTTACCACTTTCCAGATTCACGTTGAGGTTATTTTCATCTGCATTACTTTTAGTATCCTTTCCTAGAGTACCTGAGTGTGACTTTAAACGAGCTATTCGGGAAACCAGTTCACTGTGAGTGCCAGACACTGCCTTTGAAACAGATTCTATAGTATTCCTAATTCGTGACATGCGATTGTTCACTTTTGCAAGTCCTTTGGAAGAAGAAGTCAAAAGTTTAGAAACTCTGTAATACAAAAAGTCACGACTGAAAATGTGTTTGCTATACCACAATGTTCTGCTTTTGGCCCATTTATACTGAGGCTCACCGGTGTGAAAAAATCTAAGATGAATGGCATGATTTATCCTCCAGCAGATTTTAGGTCTATACAAACACAGGTACTTGTTTCTTTGCTTCCACCAAAGACTTTTTGGGTTAATCACAAAGAGCAAATATGCATCTAGAGACAAATGAATTGTCATTACTTATAAATTATACCCTATGTTGTTTGTCTACTTCATCCTGGAAAATATATTTCAATGAATAAGCCTCAAATTGTGGTGTTACCTGGAAAAAAAAAACAAAAAATAATGGAAACACCAAATCAATAATAAGACTAAAAGCTCAGAGTTGTTTAAAGCTGATGCAGCTTATTTACTGCTCCAGTAAAGGCAGATAAATAACCTCACAGTGGTGATATCTAGTGCTCAGGACACTTGGCAGTAAAGTCCCAACAACTACAAGGCCTAATGGTCATAGAATCACAGAATGGCCACGGTTGGAAGGGACCTCAAGGATCACAAATCTCCAACCCCCCTGTCACATGCAGGGCCACCAACCTCCCCATTTAATACTAGGCCAGGCTGCCCAGGGCCCCATCCAATCTGGACTTGAACACCTCCAAGGACGGGGGCATCCACAACTTCTCTGGGCAGCTGTTCCAGCACCTCACCACCCTCACTATAAAGAACTTCCCTCTGACATCCAACCTAAATCTTCTCTCCCTCAACTTAAAACCATCTCCTCTTGTCCTGCAGTTATCTACTCTTTCAGAGTGTTGATTCCCCTCCCTTCTGTAGGCTCCCTTTAGGTACTGAAAGGCTGCAATGAGGTCACCCCACAGCCTTCTTTTCTCCATGCTGAACAAGCCCAGCTCCCTCAGCCTGTCTTTGTAGGGGAGGTGCTCCAGTCCCCTGATCATCGCTGGCCCTCCTCTGGACCCTCTCCAACAGCTGCCTGTCTTTCTTGTACTGGAGGTTCCAGACCTGGACACAGTACTCCAGATGGGGCCTTACAAGAGCAGAGTAGAGGGGGGCATTCATCTCCCTGTCTCTGCTGGCCACCTCTCTTCTGATGAAGCCCAGGATACCATTTGCTTTCCAAACTGTACATCAAAAGTCAATGTTCACTTTGAGCAACATGCAACCCTCACCAAAAACAGTTAGTGACACACAGACAAGTGTCTGCTAGTCCTTCCCAATGGCAGAAATTTGCATCTTTGTCAGCAGGTGGTTTTGTGCAATGAGACAAAGTCCCAAATGAAAATGATACAGTACTGGTGCCTCTTGCAGGAATTCCTCTCAGGGCAGAAAGAGCACCAACGCTTTGGTCAAATCTGTGTAACACTGAACTAAGTTCAATGAAGAGATCCCACCCTCAAGCCAGTACACTATATAATTCCTATTCCACAAGCAAATCACGGTCTTTCCTAGTGTGGCTCGGAGCTTTGCACAGTATTCACCCATCCGCGCAGACACGCGGACTCAAACCCATCATTTACCTCACCGGTAAACGGCCACTCCCCGCCTAACTGCCGCCAAGCGCCACAGCCACGGTGAAGCCGAGGAAGAACCGGCCGCAAACAAACGGCTGCTACTCGCGATCTCCCCAGGCCGCGTCCGTTCCCACCCGTCCAGCGCTACCACAGCCACAGGCCAGGGGCTGATATAGGCGGGGAGGCGCTGGGGGAAGGGGCGGAGGGCGCGCTTTGTTTGTACCTTCACCGCTTCGCGGAAACGACTTCGCGAGCGCCGCGTCAGAGGGCGGCGAGGCCCGCCCACCCCCGGCTCGCCCCACGCCCACCCCCGAATGCCCGCCACGCGCTGACGCCCCCTCCTCCGCCCGGCGGCCGTGGGTACCTGCCAGGCCGTGGGTACCTGCCAGGCGGCGGCTCCCGCCGCCCTCACGAACGAGGCGGCCGCGGCTCACCGCACGCCCACCGGCTGAGTAGGGCGGCGGTGACAACAACAGCCGATAGCGGGGGAGCGGCCAGAGTGCGCGTGCGCCGCTCCCAGCGCGCCGGAAACAGCTGAGACTGACATCCCCAAGCGGTGGGGGAGGAAAAGGGAGGGGGTGAGCGCGGGTGGTGTGACGTGATTCTGGCGCGGCGTCTGGGGGAGGAGCCGGGGGGGAAAGGTCGCTGCTGGGGTGGTGGTGGCTACGCATGCGCGTGAGCCGCGCTGGGTGCGCGATGTGTGGAGCGGCGCGGCTGGGGTGGCACAGCGGGAAGCAGCTGAGTCTGCCCGCAGGCAGGCAGGCAGGCAGGCAGGCAGGCAAGCAAGCATGCATGCATGCAAGCAAGCAAGCAAGCAAGCAAGCAAGCAAGCAAGCAAGCAAGCAAGCAAGCAAGCAAGCAAGCAAGCAAGCAGAGGGAGGTGATGGTCCAGCCTGTTCCTCGCCCTTTCCTTAGGCGGCTTGTGGAGGTGTTGGGAGTGAGGGGCCGCGAGGTGCAGGGGTGGAGTCCAGCCTTTCCACCTGCCTTACGTGCAATTCTCCAGGAGTTGCCTAAGTGTGCGGCGTTGGGTGCAGGAGGAGTGAAGTCACCGTGGGGTGGTGAGCTCCTCACCCTGTCCTGAAATAAAGGCAGTGTTTTGTTTGTGGGTGCGGTTCTGTCACCTACTTCTATCTTTCTTACTAATTAAAAAGCAAAATTAATTTCCTTACCTGATGTTTTCTTTGCCGTAGGAATATTTAAGTCTGTTGCACACTGTAATTAGTATCAGAACCAAGCAGATTCAGCTACCTACAGGACATCTGCCGACTCAAATATCTGATGAATCAGAGTATCCTGAGTTGGAAGGGACCCACAAGGATCACTGAGCTCCGCGCAGGACCACCCTGCATTCATGCCCTGTGTCTGAGAGCACTGTCCAAACGCTCCTTGAACTCTGGCGGCTTGGTACTATGACCTCTGCCCTGCGGTGAAGAGCCTTAGTTCCTAACACCCAACCTGACCTCTCCACTTACCCTCAGCAGCCTTTTCCAATGCTTCACCAACCTCTTCCTAATTCTTCCTAATGTCCAGTGTAAGCCTCATCTGGTGCAGCTTGAGAACATTACCTCATGTTCTGTCACTTGCTATCTGAGAAATGAGACAAACACCCTTTTTGCTGCAGCCTCATTTCAGGTAGTTGTAAGGAGCTAATAAGGGCCCCCTTCAGCCTCCTCATCTACATAATAAACAGCCTCACTTCCATCAGTTTTCTAGTCCTTTTTCCAACTTCACTGCTTTTCTCTGCACATGCTCAAGCAACTCAATACCCTCCTTGTAAAGAGAGGCCGCAAACTGAACACAGTATGTGAGGTGCAGTCTTACCAGTGCCCCATATAGTGGGAGCATCGCTTCCCTAGTTCTGCTGGTGACACTATTTCTGATGCAGGTGACAAAGTCATGGCCTCTGCCCTAAGTGCCAGATATAGCTATGCAGGCAGTGCGTTGTTTTATGAGTTTCTAATTCATAACTTACTGTTACATTACAAGAACATCACAGTCCTGATAGATTTTAGGCTGTGGTACAGGAGTAGGTTCTCTGCTAGCAGTGTAAGTCAAAGCAACCTCCCCAGCTGTGTCTGCCCTGGTGCACACCCTAGAACTCCTTGTTTGTTTGCCTGGTGCTGAATGGAGGTGGATTTCATAAGAAGCAGTTGCCCTTCTGAAGTGACAGTCTGGCTTTAAGTAGGATAAATTGCATTCTTATAGCAACAAAGGATTAGATGAAAGAAGACCAACAACTTCAGTAAGAAGAAGGTTCTGCCCCCTTAAGCCTTATACTGCTAGTGCATATCCTGCTTTACTTTGCCGGATAATACCATGAAAGTTGCAACAGATCCCTTCTATCTGTACATAGCTCTTTCCTGAACAATCTCAAGTTCTCCCATGAGCCCTTCTGTGCCAGCTCAGGCATTCATTTTACCACTGGGATGTGTATATACCACCTCTTCTACAGAAAAGATTCTTCAAAGGGATTTCATATTTCGGGTTTGATCGCAAGCACAAACATTCTTACAGGTCTCCCTGAGCTTGACTGAACCTGTTGATCTAAGTGTGTTCAGAGACCCATGATTCATCAGCTTTGCAGAACAACCATGCAACTCAGAAAAAAAAGAAAAGAAAAAAAAGAGAAAGAAACAGTGGACAAAAAGGGATAAATTCCCAGGGATAAGGGACAAAGGGATAATTCCCAGGCACAAATTGTGCACCCACATCTTCTCAAATGTTTCACCAATTTAGCCCTGTCTTTCATAGAATCATAGAATCACAGAATCATTATCCTTTGAAAAGACCATTTAGATAATCTAGTCCAGCCATCAACCCATCACCACCGTACCCACTAAACCATGTCATTTAGTGCCACAACTATCTTTTTTTTTTAACACCTCCAAGAATGGTGACTCCTCCACCTCCCTAAGCAGCCTGTACCAATGCCTTACCACTGTTTCTGGATAGAAATTTTTCCTACTGTCCAACCTGGACCTACCCCAGTGCAACTTAAAGTTATACCCTCTAGTCCTATTGCTGTTACCTGGGAGAAGATTCTGACCCCCACCTTGCTCATCCTCCTTTCAAGCAGTTGAAGAGAGAGATAAGGTCTCCCTTGAGCCTCTTCTCCAGACTGCTGGTCACGCTATTTCTGATGCAGGTGACAAAGTCATGCCCTCTGCCCTAAGTGCCAGAATTAGCTATGCAGGTAGCCCATTGTTTTATGAATTTCTAATTCATAAACAAGCCCAGTTCCACCAACTGCTCCTCATAAGACTTGTGCTCCAGACCCTTCACAGCTTTGTTGCCCCTCTCTGGATACACTACAGGGCTTCAGTGTCTTTCTTGTAGTGAGAGGCCCAAAACTGAACACAATACTTGAGGTGCAGCCTCACTAGTGCAAGTACAGAGGGACGTACTTCCTTGTCCTGCTGACTACACTATTTCTGATACAAGCTGGGATGCCATTGGCCTTCTTGGCCACCTGGGCACACTGCTGGCTCATATTCAGTCAACTGTGAACACGTACATGTTATCTATGAAGTAGTGATTCAACAAAGCTTGCATGACTTAACAAGATTTGTGATGGCAAGGTCACTTGATTATATGCTGAACAGAGAACAGAGTTGCACAAAACTGTCAGGGAGACTCTCCTGATGAGTCACGAGGTTTAGAGTGGACCCTCTGGCCAATGGTTTATGTGTGCAATAATCGCTTATGTGTGCAATCAGTCCTTCATAGCAAGTACCACATAGCAAGTTAGCAAGTTATTAGCAGATAAGTAATCTCTTAATCTTGAAAGAAGTGAAGTTCCGAGAAGCTAACTATTAGTCTCTTACCAAGTATCTACTGCAAGTAAGGAATCCCTTGACCTTGAAGAATAGCCTTGAGCTGAGTTTCTGCTCATGAGCAAGGTCCTGGCACACAACCCCCTGCCATGCAAGGAGAGCTTCATAGGCTCTGGGTTGTCCCCTATTTACAGAGTAAGACAACTGACTGATAGTCATACTTGCATAACAGTCATATATGGTGTCTGCAAGCTATCTCCCACAAACTCACTTTGACCCTAGTTCTGCTAACATCACAAGACAAATCCATCACTGCAGCCACTGATGGTAGATGTTAGCCTCACAGAGTGGTATGGTCACTCCTTGCCTGTGTTCCATTAATAGTATACTGGTAATTTATGCACTTACAGATCCATAGTAAGTTGACAGTGAAGTATTGCTATTTGTTTTGTACTACTTTGTATGTTTTAGGTGGTTGAAGTTGGGTTATTTGGTTTATCATGTACCAAACCTTTACATACAATATGGTTATGACAACACACACACTAATTAGTAATTAGTAAAATCATAACTGGATGAAGTAGATGATTAAAAATCCGTGTTGGTGTGAGTGACCACCCAAGAAGGTTTCCCACCAATCGCACTCTCCATCTTTTCACACTCTTTCCAAGCATGGTACATCTCCACCGCACTGTGATAAATGGTGCTTAGGCTTTTAGTCCATTGTTTCAGGCACACTCTAGTAGCTAACACTGGGCATTTCATCGCAGCAGTCTCTTCACCAGTATAAGATTCATTCCAAGAGAATCAGGCAACAAATCCAGACTCATTATATAATCAGATTGTAATAACAGATAAAATATAACAGGAGTTGAATAATTAAGGTTGCATGCCATGATTTCAGTAAGGCTAAAAGCAAAAATATTTATAAAATCACAATGGGTTCTTATACAAGCACATAATTTTCAAGATATACGTTTTCAGGGTGTTCATTGGGATATACTTCAAAATAACATTCTAATCAGTGTCAAGACAAATGTCTCAGGCTTTGGTGTTATGACTCATATCTCCTCATTCCCATGCACACTTTAACATCACAAGTTTGCCATTTGTTTCTGACTCGTTGGGCCCACACTTTCGTGTTTTAATGAATAGAGTTTAGTCTCATTGTGACTTAATATTAGTGCAATGGTTGGATATATGATATATATATAACCATATTGTGAAGACAAAACTGATGACTTTATTGTATGATGGGATCATAAGTAAAATTAAGTAAATGCCACCAGGACTGGAATTCTTTTTCAAATTTAGTTGCATTGTTCCAAATCATCTTTCAAATTCCAGTGGATAAGGTGTCTTCTTTGCTTTCTCTTATAATTGCTGCTGCCATAGATTGCATTCACAGTGGAATTTGGTTACAACTGAGAGTTAATGTTTCTCTATCAATTAAATCTACAG